TATATTTACTGAGAAAAATGGTGACGTGTTCAATACTTATTTTACCCAATGTATTTCTATTCTTTGCTCAGTTTACTCAGCTAGGCTCAGTGGAGCCAGTTGACTGAGTTTGTTGAGTAAATTCAACTCTTCATTTTTAGAGCAGAAACATATTTCATGATGAGTTCGGACATATTTAATTTTGTTACAAGTAACTAGGTGTTACATTTTAAAGTAAAGAAGTAAAAGTATAATTTTTAATTAACTTTAAAATTTAACAAACTAAAAGTACCTATTGAAAAAAATAACTGGTAAAATTACAAATCCTAAAAAACCTGCTTAAGTACTGAAACAAAGTAAATGTACTAAGTTACTATAAACCTCTGTGAGCTACACTGTAGCCACAGCTGCCCTGGGCCACACTGACAGAGGTGGGGCTGCCATGCACCGGCACCACCGGACCCTCTGACCACCATCAGTAGGCAAGGTGGGTGAATTCAGTTCAGTTCAAAAACATTTTATTGATCCCAGAGGGAAATGAGGTGTTGTTGTAACTCATTGAACTAAAAACTTATTGTAGAGGCTGATGGCTGTGTTCAGGAAAGATCCTCTGTAGTGGTCTGTATCACAACAACAGTGATGAAACCTCAGAGCACACTCTGTTTTTCTCTGACAGTCTGATGAAGAGGATGGTCAGGGTTGTCCACAATGTTCTTGATTTGATGTAAAATCCTTCTTTGCACCATCATCTCCAGAGGTTCCACAGTCGTCTCCAGCTGTTCTGCATGAAACGTTTTGCTGTTTTACCTGCTGACTCCGCCTTTCCRTTGCTTTGTGGGTATCCAGGTGAAGATGTTCTATGATGGAATTCCCACTTCTGGCTGAACTTTTAAAACTCTCAGATGAGCACATCTGGAATCCCCTGAAGAGCAGTGTGCTTTCAGCTTGTAGATMACAGTGGTACTTTTGGTGTCCAGTAGATAAACAACTTCCCAAAAATTTGGGTAATAGTCCACAGTAATCAGAGAGTCCTTGTTGTGCCATGAAAACAGATCAGTTCCTACCTTGGCCCAAGGCCTGTAGACGGTGTCATGAGGACATAAAGTATTTTTGTTGTTTGGGTCCACTGACCTGCTGATGTCACACTTGGATGTGAATGTCTTTATCTGCTCATTCAACCCTGGCCARTACACACACTCAGGTGCTCGTCTGAGGCAGCCGTCCACTCCCAGGTGTGATGAGTGTGTACGCCAGGTCACGTCAGCTCTTAATGTGTGAGGAACTACTGCTCTTTACCCCTTGAATATTATACCATCTTGAAAACTCAGCTTGTCCTGAAGAGTGAAATAGTGTTGAACGTGCTGCTCCATGCCTTTTTTGTGTTTTGGCCATCCTGTCTGGATCAGCTTAGTCACTTCCTGCCACGTTGAGTCCTCTGTTGTTGCTTCACAGATGGCTGTCAGTCTTTCTGCAGAGATGGGCAAGTARGAAACCATGTTAACAGTTTCTATCTCAGTCTCTGTGATTCCTTGACTACTGTCAGGTAAATAAGTTCTGCTTCGTGTGTCAGATAGATGCCTGTCTTGTCCAGGCACATAGATCACATATCATGTTTCTGCAGCCAGAGTAACATTCTCTGAAATCYCTTTGACACACTGAGAAGTGGTTTTCTCATGGTGTTTTCCAGTGGCTTGTGGTCACTCTGAACCGTCACTTTTCTACCGTACGTATACTGCTGGAACTTTTCTGTCCTGAACACTTTGGCCAAACATTCATTTTCCATCTGGACATAACCTCTTTCTGTGTCAATGCTGCTCCTAGTCCTGACTCTGAAGCATCACATTGTAGAGTTAGCTCCTCATGTTGGTCATAGTATTTGAGTAGTGGTGCATTTGTTATTTTTCTTTCAGTCTTTTAAACACTGTCTCATGCACCTCTGTCCATTCCCACATGTTTTCTTTGTGCATAAGTTGTGTGAACTCTTCAGTCTTCTGGAAGATGATCAGGAACTTTGAGAGGTAGTTCAGCATACCTACAAGCCTCTGTACACCCTTAACATCCGTAGGCCTCTGCAGCTCGAGCACTGCCCGCACTTTCTCTGGATCAGTGTGAAGGCCTTCTGCTGTTAATAAGTGTCCAATGTAGGGTACAGACTCTGTCTGCAATGAGTTTAATGTCTGTCTGCACCTTATCAAACATTTCACCCTCTAATGCTTGCATAAGTTTCCTTTGAAAATCATCAGGAGCTGGGCTTATGTCCATTGACTCTGAAATCATGTGTACTCTGTCTTGCTTTTTCCATGCTTAGATTTGCATTTTTCAGCAAAGTGGTTCTCTTTTCCACATTTCATGGAATTTTTTCTGAATGCTGGACATTTGTGTTATTTATCTCATGCATGTTGCCACAAAATTTACAGTTCATGTCATCCTGTTTGTCTCCACTCAGACTCTATTTCATTGGATGTATTTCCTCCTCCACTTTCCCTTGTATGGTTTTGCTATTCTCTTTTGACAGTTCAGTAGCTCTGCACTTGTCCAGAGTTAAGTTTTCTTACCTTAACAGAGTGTAGGGGTCACCTTGAGTGAAGAAACAAGATTTACTGCCTCGAAGCAGGTCTCGGACAGGCCTGACGAGAGGACAGGAACTCTGTC